AGCAGGGCAACAAAAAATGCAGTCAGACAAACACACGCAAGTTAACAGAGCATGTCTGAGCAGACAGGGTCAACCAGCACTTCCAGGCTGACACCCTTATATGCCATGGACTCAACACTCCCCCAATTTCTTGCCACAGTTGTCCTGGTAGTAACCCCCTTGATGAGCAGACCCCACAGGATTTTGGGGCATTACAGGGATCTTTGGCTTAGGTAAGAGGAGCAGTACTGCAGAGCAAATGGGGAAGTCGAGGAAAAGAAAGAGTAAACGAGATTCGGAGAGAGAGTATGGCATCCAGCTTGACCATAAAAGTTAGTTTATTGCCAGGTGTATGAAACTTATAATGTTACTAGTAATAATAGCCATACAAGGAGAGACAAACAGATGAAACGGTTACAATATTACATGGTTTCAATTGGGTATTTGGGGAAATCTAGCTCAATTTTGATCAATAAAAGTCAGGTTTAGAAAGCTATTCCTGGAGTGAGAGAGAGAGAGATTAAAATCAAGTCTGAAGTTTAGAAAGTGGGCTTCAACAAAGAGAGATAGAGTTGGGATCTCACCACTCAGTGAAGCATGAGCTAGTCGAGGTTCCCAGGTGTTTGTTGGAGCTCATAGACAAGCTGCTCAGCTTAGGGTCCAGAGTGCTTGAGACAGGTAGAGCCCCCAGCACGATCAGTGAAGATATTCCAGGCAGAAAAAGGAGACGGTGAAGTCCCTGTGGAACTGGTGCAGCTTTTGGATCCAAGAACAGAAACTTGAGCTTGGGTAAGGGTTCTTGTCGGGAAACAACAATGGTTCAAGGGAGAACAGTATTTTGGGTACCAGTAAAAATCATCACTAGAATTGGTCTGATAAATGCTGGGCTGGGTGTGTGCAGGCGTGGGCTGATTAACATCTGGAGCAGAGATCCTCCATTATGCAGTGCTCCCCTGCTTCTCTGGTTCCAGAGTTCAGTGCAGTCCTTTCCTTGGAATCTGTTTTCCACTCTGAATGCTAAAGGAGGTGCCTCCCTGTCCCATCTTTGATGCAGATGAGACTAGGGTAGTTGCCTTAATCCTGTCACCCTTGTCCTAGGGGTTTAGGTGTCTCTCTCACTGCATCTTCATTGCTTTTTGTAAATCCTTCTTCTGATCAGTTCTGGTTTAGGCAAAGGTGGGGGTGGTCCTTCGTAAGTCAGACAGGCTGGGTACTGTGCCAGGGCTCCCCAGGAACACAGAGCTGGCAGGTAACACTGTCTTGTGCAGGCCTCCTACTGAAGATTAATGTCAATTTCATTTGAGTGAGGAGTGTTGAATAAGACCATGGTTATGGCATTGTTCAGATTCTCCTCCTCTTAAGGAGCCCTGAGGTGTTCAGGCCAGAATTAAATACAGAAGGGGGCTTGCCAAAGGTAAAAGAAACCAACAGTTTCATTTGGTTTAATTTAAAATAAAACCTCTTTGTCATTTCACCATCATCTAGCCCAGAAAGATTAGGCTCTACAAAGGTTGAAAGGACTGGAGCAAGGTCTTTTTTATGCTACTTTTCTGCCTTCTAGCATTTGTAATGACTGCCTTGTGGAAGGACATCTTACATAATGAGCAGCTTATTCAGGATGTAGCAGCAATTGCTGTGGATGCAGCACTTCTTGAAGGAGTTCTGATGAGGACCGAAGAGGATTCCAATGTGTCTGATGTAAGCATAGAACTTATGTGGCTTGATGACTCAACGCTTTTACTTTGAAATATTTTCATCTTTTAAAAAAGATCAAAGATCTCAACAAAATTTCCACTCCAAAAAATAAGAGCTTGGTAAGGAAATGAGTGCAGCTGCCACAGCTTGTTTGTGAAGGCCTTGTGAAATATACAGCATGTTACAATAGCTGCATAAATTCCCAGGCTTTTGTGAGGACAAAGGAAACAAATGTTGTCCCATATACTACTGTATTTACTAGATTCTGAGGCAAGGTTTTTTCCACATTTTACATGGGAAGGGGGGGGGCGGGGAAGCCCTTCATCTTAGAATTAAGTATGA